AATGATTTTGCAAAAAATTCTTACATAGGACACAATAAGCATTAGACCTATTTTTTAAAAAGACTGATAAATTGGACATGATTAAAATCAAAACTTTAAAGTTGAACATTAAAAACACTAGAGTGAAATGAAAAGACAAAATATGACCTCACTAAAACACTGGCAAGTCATATATTCTATAAAAAATTTGTATCTAGAATAAATTATGTGCTCTTACAACTCAATACTAAAAGGAGAGAAAACACTTGAGTGGACATTTCACATATGGATGGTGAACAAGCAAAAAAACCCACACATTTTATTCATAAGGGAAAAGCAGATTAAAACCACAAAGAGATGCAAATTCACTAGAATAGCTGTAATCTCAAGAGAACAGCAGTGTTTATCTGTGAGGGTGTGCAGAAATTAGAACTCTCGTACATTATCTTGCACATGCACAATGGTGTGGTTGCTTTGGAAAACAGTCTGGAATGACTGTAAATGGATAAGTATAAAGTTGCCATATGACCCAGCAATTCCACTTCTAGGTACATAATGAAGAACAAAGCATATGTCTAAATAAAAACCTGTAAGTGTATTCTTCAGAAAAATATGATTGATAATAAATCAACCTACGAATAACCCACACATCTATCAACTTTTCAGTGGATAAATAATGTTGTGGTATATCCATACAATGGACCAGTATAAGCTATAGATACACTTTAAAGAAGATTACATCTGAAAATGTTGTGTTGAATGAAAGAGGCCAGACTGAAATGACCATGTAGTGTATGATCTCACTTTATGAAATGCAAGAAGATGGCAAATCAATAGACAGCACAGAGTTTAGCATTTGCAAGACGTAATGGATGGGCGTGGTGATGCACGCCTGTAATCCCAGCACTTGAGAGGCTGAGGCAGGAGGATCTTTGCAAGTTTGAGACCAGCCTGGGCTACAAAGTGAGTTCAAGGCCAGCTTGAACTGCACAGTGAGACCCTGTCTCAAAAAGACAAAAGAAAAAAAAAATAATGTAATGGAAGCAGGAAGGAGATACACAGCAGTGTTTTAATGGTGATGACAGTATTCTAAACCTGGTTGTGGTGGTGGTAATGCAAGTCTGTGAATGACTAAAAATTATTGAATTATACACTTAAAGCAGATGAGTCTGTACTATATAAATTGTGCCTCAGTAAAACTTTTCAAACGTATTAGGGAAATGAACAATACAGAGAAAACTGTGTTCTAGGAAAACTAATATGGCTGTAAATATGTGGCAGTTTTGGGGGCAGGGAAAAGCCAGAAGCACAAGGAGCTATGAGAAAGCTCATACAGCTATGCAAGAAAAAGGAATGACATCTGAACTAGGAAAGCAGTGTCAAGGACAAAGAGAACTGTTCAAGGATGCAGAATTGCAAAGACACAGCAAGTCAGATGGACAGGGTTTGACGAGGGCAGGGAAAGATGGCTCTACAATTTTGACTAGATAATTTGAAATAATCCATTCCACAAGAAGGGAAGAAGCAGAAAACAATTATATGAGTTCAGTGATATCAGTGTTTTATAAGCACCTTTTATGAAGGAGTTGTTAGCTTAATAATAACTTGATTTTTTATATCTGGGTTGTTTTATTTTTCTCTTACTCTATCTAATCTGCCTTCCAAATAAAACTTCCTTGAGCTAAACATTCACCAAATTATAACACTCTGGGCCCTAGAAAAATTATGGCAGGTAGATGGGGTTCACTGTCATCCTTTAAAATAATTTTTTCAACAAATACAGATTATTTTTGTAGTCAATAATTACTCTAATGATTTTATACTTACCTACCATTATGTGGTTAAACAAGGATAATATTGGATGTGTTAAGGAAGCTCTTAGGAATCTTTCCCATCTTTATGAGGGCAGAAAATTTTCTTCTTTAGAAGAGCTTTTATTATACAACATGTTCACAGAACTTCCATCTGTGGGGAAGACTTTCTCATTATTATTGAAAAGGCACAGTACCTTTTCAGTGGGTCAGAATACAGTGCGCTTTTCTGTTCACTTCTGTAGGCCAGGAATGTTCTAGTTATTAAGCCATTAATAGAGCATTGTGTATGTCCAATGCTTAAGTCAAATGGTAACTATGAAATTACTTTCGCAATTGAAAATTCATGTTTCAAAACCCTTCCGGGCAACACTCAAACTGTATCTGTTAGGAGATGTTATAAGAGCATTTAAGGAAAATAAAACCATATTTACACGATAAATACCCAGCCATGAAGTATAAAATGTTAAAATTAATCATATACAAAGGTACAATTGTTTTCTTACAAGATTTATGTTCGTTTATGCCTCCATGCCTCACATTTGTAGCTAGAAAAAAATGTACGCAATAAGAGAGAGTCTCTGTGCCTTTCACTTAGTGCCCCGAATAGTACAATTGCAAAGGCACTGACGCAAAAAATATACGGAGTCATGTGTTTCTGCAAAATATTGTAGTCAGGACATCAAATGAGACAAACAATAGCAAGTAAAATGTATGTTTTCTGTTTGACACACACACACACTCACAAGTATAAAATGAAAGAACATCAGCCATACAAAGCGGCACGGGTGGAGCAGAGACAGGGCTCATTAACAAGCAATGCAAGCTAAGCATATAAGAATCCACAAAATGACAAGATAATCCTGCTGCTTGCAAAACTCAGAAGTAAAAAGAGATAGAAAAAAGTTACCAACACTTTCATAATGCATTTGCAAAGAGATAGAAGTGGAGAAAGACTAAAAATACAGATACACAACTTAGACTTCTCTATAATTAATACATTTCAGACAAGTAATGAATCCATCCTAGACATCATAGGTGTAGGTCCACGTAAGTCTGGACAGATACAGCATTTGGCATAAATTTCACATTTTTGAGATAATACAGATGAAGAAATAATGCATTAAATTAAATTAGATAATGGGTTGCTTGCAATAGGACGATTCAACACTGTCATTGTAGAAGGATCAGGTAACTACTTTGTAATGTGCCCATGTTTAGCTAAAAGTGGTTATTGGTGGCCCTGGGATTTGAAAGTAAAATACTCTCCCTCCACCAGGTAATTTTCCATATGCATTTGGGAAGTGTTATGCTTAGAATGCGTTAGATCTTTAGATTTCTTCTTTCCATCTGCTTTCATAACAAAGAAAAGCACAGTGACCACAGCTGACTTCAAATTAACTCACAAGCTGTCAAGTCAGGGATTTGGTGTTCAGCATCCAAGTGGAAAGATGCCTAGGTCATAGCTCTTCCCTAACAGACACCGTTTCTAGGCTGTTGTCCTCCAGCCTTCCTTTACACCATCCTATGTGCTTGTCCAGCCCTTAACCATTTATCATTCAGACTTTCCATTTGTCTCCTGTACCCAACTCAGTCTGGGCTGGTTGAGTGAGACGTTCATTTCTTCAGCAAGCAAGTGGCAGGTACTATTCTGCAGACTGGAAACGCAGCTGAGTAGAACAGGAAGCATCCATCCTTTTGGGAGATCACAGGCAGACAGTATGCTAAATACTCTCTCAAGCAGGACACAGCAAAAGCCATGCATTATGGCCTTCTTTCTGCCAAGTCTCTAGATGTAGTTTGTTACCTTTTCTGATAAATATTTGAATGACATACCATGTCACATGGAATAAGGCTATCATGAGAGATGAGAGGGTTTATAGTTTCATGATAGAGGAATCAGCTTGACAACTGATTAGGAAAACCCTTTTAATTTTTCAAGCGTTCTTTCCTATGGAGGCTCATTCTGAACAGAGTTGTCTCATTTAATAAAAACAGTAGAGCCAAAATATAAATTCTCCAGATACTATTAGCGTGAAACTAAGAATGATGAAGAGAAATCTGGCATTCAGAGTTCAAGGAAAGCTTCTAAAGGATGAGAAATACTTTGAAAACAAACTTCTGCTGCTGTTTGGTTGAACCAGAATTATAACATTTTAACCCTGTCTGCTAAATTGAATTTTCAGTTTATCATTTTGGAAACATGATGTTTTGGTATAAGAGCCCACAACAGGGTTTTTTTTGTCAATGACCTGTAGACATTTTTTAAAGGACACACACTCCAATTAATCTGAGGAACTTAATTGGAAAAAAATTTTAAAGGAAAAAAATTTATTCATATTTTCTTCTTTCGGAGTCCTGTGGTCAAAGTTCTGAAATCACATGTGCTTGCACTGCAGTACTGGATGTACCACTTTTGGAAAATGTGTTCATTCTTAGGACCACTTTGTTTCTTGGCAAATAGGAGATGAAAATGCCTATGCTGATGAACTGTGGTAGGATTATAACTACTGGGCTAGCGGAGAATGCTAAATAAATGCCAGTTGTTGTTATAGTTTTCTTCTAGACTAAAAAACTAAATCATGCCCTAACATAAATTCCTTCATTAGTAAAATTGCAGAAAACAATCACTCCAGTTGAAGCAGTAGTGGGAGCACTGATTACTCTTGCAGTCAATGCTCACACTCTATGGAGAAGCAGTGTAGACGGTGGGCACATAGCACCTTCTAGAAAAATGTATGTTTATATTTTTCCAAACACTTTGTAACTTCAATGTTTCAATTTAATTAGTGCATACGGTATAGCCCCAACCATAGAGGCACAAAGAAAAGAGAACATGAGTTTGATATCCAAGTGAATTAGATTTGACTCAGCTCTGTGCCAGATAGTGAGCGTGGCAAAGGCATCACTGATCTTTTATTTCCTCTTCCGTAAAGAAGAAAAAATAATGCCTACTCTGTAGGGGTGTTGACTGTATTGAAAACATGATCTTACTGTACAAAATTCGGAGCACAGGACCTGATGGTCAATTGTACTCAGGAAATATTATTTCTTTCTTCTCCTTTGCAGTCTTTTCCCTCCTAGATAACAATAAAGACAGGGTCATATATAATAGTAAACATTTCTTAATTTTTCTAAAAAAAAAAAAAAACCAGTTCTATTGTAAATTATCCCTACAAATGACTGGTCACATTTGTCATTTCTTATGGTTGTATGTTTGATTACTAACCCACAGCCTCACAATCAGGTATACTAGGGTTTATTTCATTTTAAAAATAATTCCTACTTCTCTCCATTTTGATGCCTTGCAGATTGCAAGAGGAGCTGATGCCTATTACAGTCTGAGGAATAACACATTTCAGAGATGGACAAATGCGACGCCGGTCAAGGATCTTCCCACCCAGTCATCTCCCCTCCAGGAGCAGTGCTATGCATTCCTCAGACACGCGTGAGCCAGTACTCAGGTCACAGTGGGTGATTTGATTTGCTTGTCTTTCTAAAACAAAAATAGGACAAAATTCATTATTTTACATCTTGCTCTTTTAGCTTAATACATTGTAAATTTCTTTGTACTTTTATGTTGATATTTTTAAGGTGAATATTACTTAATATAATTGTATCATTTTCCACATTCCTTCCAACATTACCTCTTGCTCTTGCAAAGACCTCATGGTGTGTGTGTGTGTGTTATTCCTGGAAATTTTTCTAGGCTGGAGAAAAGGATAAAAATTATTTCATAATCATCCAATAGAGTAATAGTCCTGGGCTTTTTCCACTAAAACAAATCTTTACCACATATCATTTTCTTTCTTTTCAGCAATTATTTCTAATGCATTCTGTTAGCCCCAGAGGCACATACAAAATGTATAGAAACATTTAGGAAAGTAGTTTATGTCATGGTCACCAGCCTCAGCTTTTGAGACCAGCGAGATCTGAGTTCAATTTCTCCCTTTTCACCTACTACTAACAAGTACTACGCATACTGAAAATGGAAAGCACAAAACTCACACACTCCTACTAAGATTAATTGAAAGTAAAATCATATTATTAGTCTCAATAAATTAATAAATGAGGATGAAAAAGAAAAAGGAAATAAATTTAGAGATCCTGAGACATAAGGAGAACTGGAACTTCCTAAGCTAGTTCCTAAGGCTTTCTCATCCTTGTTTCTGTACCGTTTCATAGAGGCCTATACATTTCCCTTCTTGTCCGGGGCTACTCTCAGATCGGCCTTTTCAGAGAGCCTAAAGTCATCACTTCCTTCTCTCATAAACTTCTTTTTCTTACATTTTACTTCCTGCCTCTTAATGTAAGGGAACAATTAATATGAACTGATGGAAAATTAATGTCTAGCTGAGAAAGAAAACAATTTTCATTTCTCCATAGTTCCAGTTGAGAGCTTTGCCTCAGGGGTCTCAAATTAGGATGCACATTCTAGGTCCACTCACCTCGCTTAGGAATTCTTGGGGAGATACTGGAGCCAGTACAAAGCGATCTGTCCAGCTACAAACAAGTGGAGGAAATGAGCACCATGGGGATAAAAGATGAGTACCTATTAGCGGGAGGCAGCACACTGTGAATCAAGATGTAAGTAACATACATTACCTGCGTGCAGCTCCTGCAGTTGAAAGATGGTGGTAATGTTTATCATCTGAAAGGCTTTTGTAGTTAAATGGCATCTCATACACACAGTGACTGCTATATATAAGGCAACCAATTACAATGCATATATTAATGTACGTTTTTAGCATCTAATTCATACATTAAAAATATATAACATCATTTTTAAGATGTTAGAAAGAAGAGGACTCATGGTGGGCCAAATGTACATCTCTATTCCTCCCTCCTGGGAAGTTATTAGATAGATGTTTTTCACTTCATTTAGGAGGAAGAAACAATCTTAGATCCTCTAGTGTGAATTCCAGCATCAAAAGAGAGTTTTAGCAGTGAGGTGGCAGTGAGGGAAAGGAGAATCCAGAAGTTTAATAGAAACAAAAAGAAAACATTAAGGGAATGCCTAATCAGCATAGGGGCTTTGGCAAAAGAGACCAAGGAAGAGATAGGGTTAAGAGGCTGTTGGGCAAGAAGTAAAAGGATTTGGTGACAGCCTGGATAAGGAGGAAGAAAGGGACGCTGTGTGTTTAAAAGATATGAGTGATAACAATGTCCTCAGTCACAACAGAGAAGCTGATCAACTGATGCCTCTTTAGAATGACATTAAGTTTGACCCACACCAAACTGACTTTGTATTTGTGCACTGCATTCTGACATTCTTCAAAGAAAGTAGATCACAAGTTTTTGGTGAGGAAGAGGAAAAGAAAGAATAATTGCATATCACTGACAGAAAAAACATATATAGTAGTAGAGTACTCACTTTTAGCTCACTTATAGTAGTTATATAAAATTTTACCCTCACGGTGAATTAGTTTAATCACCACATTATGCTAATTCTCACTTATTCTAAAAGGCAGATCAGGTATTACTTCCTTTAGCTCCTCAGTAATTATCAGGGCTGTCTTGAAGAAACCACAATGTTTGAGGAATTTGTGGTGTATGACAACAAGAATTGATGTCTAGACTTTCATATTTAGTCCTTAACCTGCAATGTTGTAATTTGAAAATCCTATATCAACTCAATCTAGTTAAGGATTAAGTCAATTTGCCCCAAGAAAGAAAAATAAAAGAGAGAGTTTGCAGTATGAATTAATTTGCACTCAACAGCACAAAAAACCTTAAAACTTTTCACTCATTTCTACAAAATAATAGTGTATTTATGATGTTACCCTTCATCTATGCTTTCTGAATTTCTTCACTATTGAAATAACAGAATCATCACAAAGGGAAAAGCATTTTATGTAAGGAAGAAGAAGGAGACAGTCCAATTCCAGATTTTAACACATGTCATATTTTTGCCATGTTCTCAGCCTTCATGGAAAATTATATTCAAATCAATTAATCTTCATTATCTACCTCTCTGCACATTATAAACTTGACATTATAAACTACTAGACATTGAAAACTTGGCCTGTAGGAAAGAAAAAGAAGTTTACGAGAGAAAGTTTTTGAAAAGAATTGAGAGTATTTAATCTCACTAATTCACCTTCCTGCATATTTGTTAATTTTTCTGAATTTCATGGTCCTGCTAGCAGCAGCCGTCAGTTTACAAGTACACAATTCTAAAGTATACAGAAGTATTCTTACTGATTAACAAGTAATAATTGGATTTATCTATACTTATGCCTTCCCATCTTGATTAGACCTTTCTGTACATCTCTACAGGATTGATGAAAGAGAGAAATAACAAAGGAAAAAAGAGAGAAGGAAAGAGATAAAATGTAAAAGCTCTGAAGAACTACTTGAAAGTTCCAAGTGAAGAAAGTATTGCTTGCCTTGGCAGGCTAAAAATATTATGTCAATCCACAAACAACTGGCTACTGAGAAATAAATGTCTAGTATATTGCCAGTCTCCTGTGTCAAGTCAAAGAGAAAATGCATGCTAAGAGATCATCAAGACAAGGATCTACACTCAGAAATGTAGTGCACCAAGTATGTTATCCAACCTGCTAGCAAAGGTTATCAAGAGTAGGCCGAAGATTAAAAACAGCAGAGTTGAACTCCTTAATCAAGCACAATGCAGTATATTTTTGGAAAACAGAATTGGATAGAAAGAAGTAAGAGGTAGGATTAATAGCCTTTACCCAGAAAATCCCAAGATAAGCTCTGGTCTTATACAGAATTTGTTGTTCTTCTTCTTCTCTTTTAATCAAACTTTCCTCTTTATTTTATTACCCCATTTTCTCATGGTGTGGTCTTGCTGCTAGAATCTCTTCTCAGCTTTCTTCTGGAGTTAAGACCCATTATCAAATAATTCATCAGCTCAGTTCCTTGTATTCTGCAAGCAATTCTATTTTTTTCTCAGGAGGCAAATGTACAGATAGAAGTATGGAGTTTGACAAAAACACTGACTTGACTTAGGGAAAGTGACCCTGAAAGCTTCCGATGATTTCTATACTGTATGTGGTAGGATGTAAATTCACCCTTATCTCTTTACTCCATTTTTGAGATTTTTCATCTCTTCTAGAATGAGGGCTGCGTGTGTGTGTGTGTGTGTGTGTGTGTGTGTGTGTTTTCAGAGTCTTAAAGATACTACGATATCCCTGTGTAGGAAGTTAATTACCACTTCCATTCTTTTTCTGAAGAATTCAAGTTACTTTTCCCAGCCTGGTAAATGCCCAAATCCTGATATGATCTTTATCTCAAAATCTGCTGAGAAACAGCAGGCATAGTGGTCCAACTCCACCAATTTTGGGCAAATTCCAGAGCTTTCTCAGGAACTTCTGCTACATAGAAATGAATGCTACTCCCTGCCTTCTTAGTACCCTTTTTGCCATGTGTTAGTACCTTCTTTGAGAAGCTGAAACTTCTTTGAGAAGTGACTGGTTTAAAACAAGCAAAAAATATAATGTGGCTGATTTTCTTGATTGTGTTTGTTTTCTCTGTTTTTTCCTTTACTTTCACTCAACTATCTGAGTAGTCCTTTGAGTTACACTATTTGCAGGACCTCACTGAGAATAAAACTGTAAATTCTTAAATAAAAGAACAACTTTTAGAGATCTGTAATTTCTAAATAGAGAAAAACTGAATCTAAATAAGAACCTACTGATTGAGTAAAAAATGAAGGACTTCTACAAAACAATCTGAACTTTCCCTCTTCCTGCCTAGCTCACTTCTTTCACCATGAGCTAGAGCAATAGGGCCCTAGTGGGCCCCTTTTTTGTATAATCCGTTCTTACCTACCCCTTCCTTTAAATGTCTGGACCCCTCAGTTTTTTTGAAGATGTAAGTAAACCTCCTAACTCTGTTCATACAAAGCTCCCTATCTTCCCCAACCACTACAGATTCTAAATTATTTCTGCAAAGCCTCTTTCTTTCTCTCAGATACAATTTTCTCTGATCTATGGGCCTGTTCAGTGTTTCCCTTCTGTATTCCTTATTGCCAACTCTCTTTGTTTACTAAGTTCTTCATGACTTCTCCAGTGAGACAGCTCCTCCAGGCAGCCTTTCCTGATGCTTTTTCTCTCCCATCCCTGACTGTGGTAGATGATTCCTCTGAAAACTGTCATAGTTTCTCATGAGTATGGTACTTTTATTAATAATTGTATTACTCCTTATAGCTTGAGAATATCGTGAGGGAAGAAATTATAGCTCTTTCACTTCTAGGCTTTGTGTAAACTAGATATTCAGTAAATATTTGTTGGCATATAGAAAAGCAGTGTCTTACGATAACCATAATTTATAGAGTGACTATATAAAGTTTTAGAAACTGAAACTGTGTTTTCTTATTTAATCCTTTAAAGAGTTTTCAAGGAAGTTTACTATTACTCACTTTATAGATTAGAATATTTGTTAATTTTTGATTTATATGTTTGTTTTGTTGCAGTGCTGGGGATTGAACTCAGGGTCTCATGCATTCCAGTAAAGATCTCAGCCACTTACTTACACACCCAGCCCCTAGATAAGAGCATTTAGAAAACAGGGAAGAAGGGTAAAGAGTAAAACTCTGTTATGTTATACTTTATCATGTTTTCTACAACAGATTTCTAATTAGAATATGTTAAATATGATCTAGTGAATTATTTAACACAATATATTACAGTCAAAGCTTGTCTTGACTACTGAGAATGATTAATAACACTGAATGCTCATTATAAAGAGCTTCTACTTCATCCTGAGGTACAAAGACAAGGAGAAAACAGACTGTGTAGCATAGAAGGTGTTGTACTCAGGGTTTGTAAGGAAAAGGAATACAGGCCATATAATTAACACAAGGTTATTTTATAATATTCAACCCAGAAGTCAAATGCAAAAGAGTGAGGGGGATCCATGCACATGTTAGAGACCCAAAGAGTCCAGCTGAGGGCCTGGATCCCATAGCAATGTCCTGCAGGAGTTCAGCTGAAAACCTATAGCCCATGGCAACATCCCCCAGAAGTCCAACTGGAAGCCAAGAGCCCATGACAATGTCTCCTGCAGGTCTGTATCAAGTATCTGCACTGGGAAGGAGCAAAGGTCAGTGGTGAAAGCTAGAAAATCTGCAGTAGCCAGATGAAGGATCTGTGCCAGTAGGCTGACAGATCTGCACTGGAGCTAGGACATGACGCTCAAACTAAGAACCAGAGATCCCCCTCAAAAAACTGCAGCCATCCTCAGTGACAAGGTTCTGAGCTCCTCCGATGATGAGAACAGCCGAGTTCATATCAGGAAGGAAAGCCAGCGCGACAACCTTCTCCAAGAGTATCAACAGCACACATCATCCCTTCTGAAGCCAGGAAATAATGATACTCAGAGTAGGAGCTCTCCAAAGTGAAGCACAGCCACCCTCAGCGACAATGAGGTCCCGAGCTCCTCCATGGACTACAGCTGAGTTTATATCGGGAAAGCTAGCCTGGCATGCTTCTCGAGGAGAATCAACAATCCCTTCTTTTCTAGTTCTCTTTTTTATGCTATTGGCAACAATCCTCAAGTGGGCCTTCCACACCCGGCACCATGCTGACTCAGTTCAGCTGAGTGTTACAAGTTGGCCACCAGCTGTCAATCCCCCCAGAATGATACAGAGGAAATAACTCAACTCAGAAATTGAAGACGAAATGTTAGAGCTAAACACAAGGAAAGCGCTAAGTAAGTATTCAGTTGGAATT